ATTTATTATTGATTTAACATTAATCCATCATTTTTTAAAAGGACCAGTGTATAAGATTTAGTGGCATCTAGAGAAGACTGAAGAACACTGCTTGCGTCTGTATTTGACAACCTGGGAATGAGACTAGGTTGTGAAGTGAGTCGGAGAAACTACAGTGGCCACAAAAGCGAAAGGCCCTATCTAAAGCCAGTGTTTGGTTTGTCCCTTCTGGGCTACTGTAGAAACATGGCAGCTTGCATGCCAGGCAACCCGCTGTGTCTGTAGATAAAAACGGCTCATTCTAAGGTAACAAAAACATAACAATTCCTATATTCAGATGATAATACACTAGATAGTATATCCTCCTAAATGTTACACACTGGACTTCATTTTAAGGCCTAAAATTCAGATGACTGGATTTTAGACTTTTCAAGCCCCCCGTATTAGAGTAAAATCACTGCAGTTGTGATCTGATAGATACATGATACTGATTTAGGAAGTCTGTCAATCAGGATTTATCTCTGATGATGCACACATCTCATTAAATTCACCCTTCACCAGATCCATTTGAAAACCTAAAACTAGTATATTATTTCTTCTTACTGTCTTTTCCTGCTTGTAGAATCATCCTGTGTAACAGAAGTGACAATCCTCAGGACTGTATGAAAGTCACTGTAGCTAAACTACTTTCTTGGTGCCATTATTATTGCTGTAACAAATGGCAGTAGTATCACTATGGGGGTATCAGCTTGCCAACAATTCAGTTCAGTCCCAGTGTCAGTCTATGATCAGACAAGATCCCACAGGCAACACAGTGAGAACATCTCCTCACTCCTCGAACAGTGTTTACTGAACACGCTCACACATTCTAACCCTGTCGTGCAACATTTTCGTGAAATTCAACCGAAACTCAGCAAGTCATAAATCCATAAAGTTACTCAGCACTGATAATGTGCAGTAAACACGCTTTGAAGTTAATACTGAGGGCCTCATTCATACATAAAAGCAACCTTTGACTTTTTTTCTGTCCTTTCAAATAAATCTGCAATACAAGGTCATCCAGCAAACTCACATGAAACCACTCTCATACCACTCACTGTCGTCACTCCATCATTTCTTATTTCTTGGAGAAAGTCATATACAGTTTAGTCCTTGAAACTCATTCTGACCTGTCTAAAGCGGGTGCTAGGCTTTCAAAATACTGATATAACTCACATCTAGCTATAAGTGATTAACCATATGTCACAACCGTTTGAATGTGTGTGTATGTGTGTGTGTGTGTGTGTGTGTGTGTGTGTGTGTGTGTGTGTGTGTTTGGAGTGAGATAGAGAGGTCAGATAAGAACAACACCCCCCCCCCAAACAGCCCATCTGTCAGTCGCTCTATCGGTCAGACATACGAGCTATCTGTTCAGGTCCAGCTTCTGGTTGTGTGTTGAACATTCTCAGGAGTCTCTGAGTTGACAGTGAGGCCCGCTGTGTGTCTGAGCGGTGAGACGGTACGCAGACCTTCCACGGATCATGTGCTCTTAGTTGGCACAACCAACTGGAACCTTATTTAGCCTCTCTGGACTGGATGAGAAACCCTCCTCCTCAGCAGAGTAGCTCATGTGAAATAAAAAAAACACACTGCCCCCCTTAATAACATTCACACTGAAGGTACAATATTGTGCCTCTTCAACACAATCCACATCTCAGTAAACCTTCACATGCCTTCTGTAACCGGCCTGAGGCTAATTGTGTCAGTTTCCTCCTTTGTGACTGTTTTGTAAAGGAAAAACTGAACAGTAAAATATATTTTTAATGAAGGAAATGAATAAGGGGATTATGAATTTAAAATTAATTCACATTATAATTACACTTTACATTACAAAAAATGACTTAAACAGATGTAAGGTACACAAAGAGATGTAAAAAGCATGAATGCATCACAATGAAAAGCTAACTGCTTTGTATGTAATATGTACAGTGGTGATGAAAGGTACACCAAGCAAAAATATCTGTCTTACAAAAACTCTGATTCATATACACAATGCTCCCACTGACTGACCAGAGGAGAAATAACACACAATCTTGACACTAATGGCACAAGTTTGCTCACAGTCAGAGAGCTAATATAGCTGATAATGAGTCACACTGCTTATGGAGACTGAGAGGACTTAAGTCACTTTTAATGAGTAGAGGCAGATTTACTGTGATAGGATCAGGCCTAACCAAATCCTGAAATCAATCTTATTAAAAGGTGCCCACAAACTGCTGTGACACACTCTCCAAGCTGCACATTTTCACTTCTGAGTCAGACAAACTACTGCAAACTACTCATTAGATCAGACCAACGGATGCTTCTCCTGCAAAACCACATGGGCCATCTAGTCCACAGCTGAGCAGATGAATGCAACGAGGAAAAACCCAAGTTTCACTAACGGAGAGAAAAAGTGTTGAGTAACCTGTTATCTACCGAACCGTGTGCACACTGCACCTGCTCCAATATCATCATCAAATCACCACATGATCATCAAAAACTTTCAATCTGAGACGCTCACGGACTCACAAAAGACTTCTTACCGCTTTAGCGGACTTCCCCGAAGAGGTGAAATGATTCCGGTTTCTCCGTTTGGCGATCAGATAAAAGACTCACGAAGATGTGGTTGAGCCAAAAACGCTGCGATACGACCGGCGTGGTGCCGAAGTCTGCCTTCCCGTCGATATGTGCGTTAACCTGAGAGTAACCTTAGTCCTATCCACAACCAGAGATGCGTAACCCGACCCCAACCTTACCCTAAACCCCTAACCAGATATCGCTGCTGCTCCGCCTAACCATAACCTAACTTAAACCCTAACCCCAACTGAGGAGGGCACCGCTACTGGGAAACACTGTGGTTGGGGGGGGGGGCAGAGGTCCACACAGATCAGACTATCAAACCACAGTCAGGCGGAAACCGAGCTAAGTGAACGGACGAATAATTCAGAGTCAGTCCTGTGCCTGTTCACAAAACTTCAGCAGCTCTTTTCTGTGGTTTTCTTTGTAAGGCTGATTGAATCGCTTCATGGAAACAAAGCTGCTGAGCTGCGCTGAGTCAAGGTAGAAACAATGTGGGAGTACATCCGGTGGGACCGATTTCAAAATAAACTGCATTCATATCAGGTTATAGCTTGTTTCAGAATATCAGTTCTTTATGTAGTCATAATATGGATTAAGCTTTAAAAGCATAATAAATACCCTCTAAGGTAGTTTGTGAACTCTCTTTGTCTGGATAGTGCATATAAAGTGTGATATGGACAATGGAAATCACATATGCAAATATGGAAAACACTGTGCTGCATTTAGAGAGCTTGTTGATAAGCATTAGAAAGGCCTTTTAATATGAAAGGAACAAAGTAGTACAATAGTTTTATCATTATGGAAATAATAGTGTCATAGTATGTTTTCAAACTAAACATAAATACTAACACCAATCCAAAGCAAGGTCTGAAATCTTTTCAGTCTAAATTATGGGATTATATGTGTCAATCTCTACTGTCCGTATAACACATGGAAATGAACAGGTGACAATAAATTACAGCTGAGGTCGACAGTAGGATTTATTTGTGTAATTCTGCTCAAGAAAAGGAGCGACAGAGTAATCTGGGTGTGGCAGTATGTATCACCACACAAAAAGGGCTAACCTTGCAGCAACACAAGTGTCACCAATCATTAAAACAGCCTACTTTTTAAATCCACGTCCATTACATTTATTTATGTATTTATACAATGTTGTATGGGGCAAATGTAAGAGAAAACGTTTATTAAATTGAATTTATTTGTTGCTTTTATTTTGTAGAATGAAATGCTCTCAGGAAATAGCACTCTTACAAATCGTGTGTCACATTACACATTAGGAAGTTTTAAGTTTTGTGCACCGAAAGGATTTCCACTGTCCCCTGTTGTTCATCCTTTCTTCATCTATATACAGTATCCCAACATTTAGACAGTTTTAAATTATTCTTGACCCTATTTCACCTTGCTTGGTTTTGCTTTATAGGCCTACTTAAAATTTCTGTTGGTTTTATTACATGGTTGGATGAGGGTTTTATTCTATAATTGGCAAAAACTCAATTTGTATAGGCTAATGTTCATTAATGGATTAACCAAGTGCTTAACAGCATTATGAATTGCTTGGTCGGATAAATACAGGTGGGTCCTGTAAGGTAATGGTGTTTTATAGAGGCTGTTGCTCGGTTATAATAGAAAATTCCGACCTCACCATTTTTGGGTCGGTGAACCCGCACATGACTGCAACATTACCGATGGTCTGCATAAAATCCATTCAGGAGTGTCACGGGTGCCTTGTGTCCCGCTGCCGGTTTTATTCAATGACAGAATGCATGACGTAACTGTACTCTGATGGTCTGATAGTGTGTGTGTGTGTGTGTGTGTGTGTAGAGAGAGAAAGAGAGGGGGGAGGGGGGTATTTTAATGCTGAACAGTGAGCAATCTAACATACATATCATACAGTTCTAGCAGGACATTTTTTTATTGACTGTAGTATTAAAATAAGAGTAACAAAGTGTTGAATTCACTTTTGAAGAAAAAAAAGAAAATCTAAGAGCCTCAATGTAAATAAAAAGCTGTGGCTTGGAAACATGTATTTTGTAAACTGTGGAACTTGCTACTTACATGTGTGTAATATACTTTTTAAAATGTTTTATTTTGATGGTGCTTGTGATTGTTATATTCCATGCCCTCCGCCGTGCTCCATCTGTTGTGAGCGCCCTTGTATCCTAGCGACGCAGGAATATGCCATTTGGAGGTGGTTAGGTTAAAATCTACAACAACTTTTACAATGAAACCAACTTCTTTCTTGAATTGTGTACGTGTGGAAATATTTTATATTTAGTACAAAAACGTCTTTTCACATATGTAATGACTTTGGTGAATTGTTTTAGCTTTCACTTTATCTAAATACTTCCACACTCCCCTCTTCTAGTTGGAATTACGTGGCCCCCCACTCTTCCGCCAACAAACAGCGGGCCGTTGAAGAGGTAACGTTAAAGTTAATGTAAGTTGATATTGGGTGTGAGGAATTGCCAACATATTATTAGTTAAGTTTTTATTAAAGGCCGCGGTGTTTGAAGTTGTATGCAGTTTTTAGGTACGTAACGTTACTTTTTAGGTGTTGCGGGTAACTTTGGTCTTGTTACACGCGAACACATTGTCCGTGCTCCTGAATAGACGACTGCCAGACCACATAACTAAGTTAACTAACATTAACTAACATTACATACAAGCCAACCGCCTCTACCATGGCAGTTTAAGTTAACGCTAATGTTATTCACTTCTTAAAAGCTAAACGTCCACTACACACATCCCATTTAATATAACTACAATAGCTACCTGTTTAGAGCCTTAGCTAGCTGGAAATGAAAGCTTTTCCGCTCAAATCAAGCCTTCAGAGTGAAACAGGTGTCAGGTGTTCTGCAGCTACGTTAATTAGCCGTAATTATAATCAGCTGATTAACTTTACAGGTAGCGTTAGCCGTATGTCTCTGTTAAATGTAAGCTCCCCTTATAGCAAACCTAACAGGACGAGTGTACGTTAGATATATAACACATTACAGTATTACTTTACATTATGGTCATATTTATTTGTTTGAGCCGTGATAAAATAATTGAATGATGCTGTTGTGTTTATTTTTTAAAGACTGCTGGCCTATGTCAAACCAAATAAACATCAACTTGAATATATATGTTTATGGTAATTTGATAATAGGATAATCTATAACTATTAAAACATATTTAGAATATTATGTTATATTTCTATTTCTGGAGTGGATAACATCGCAGCAAATGCACAGCATTTATGATAAAGCGAAGGTAAAATACTGTAAGTCTGTAGTCAAATATTTCTCTGCTCCTTTTCCTCATGGATGAACAACTCTACTCTCTTCCCTTTTTTTGCTCAGCCTCTTAAAATGTCTAATGAGTATAACTGTAGGTCTCTTTGGTTTCTGTTCCACAGTGAATGGAGAACTTCATCCTGTATGAGGAGCTTGGGGCAGGCAGGAGCTCTGTTGTCTATAAAGGAAGAAGGAAGGGCAATCTCAACTATGTAGCCATCATCTGCACTGACAAAGCCAAGCGACCTGAGATCACTAACCATGTACGGTAGTGCTTTAACCTGTATAAACGTATTAAGACATCTGTTACATTTTCATGTTTTTCTAGATATATTAATGATATTTTTTGCAGCCTGAAGAGAAATGACCAGTCTTTTTCCTGGTGGGTTTTGCTTTGGAGTCTTGCAATACCTACTGTACACATTAAATGATGATCTTGTTTCTGTTCCCCCGTTAGGTACGTCTGAGCCATGATCTGGATCATCCAAACATAGTATGCTTCTACGAGTGGTATGAGACAAGTAATCACCTCTGGTTGGTAGTGGAGCTCTGTACAGGTCAGTAATTATTTCTGGCACTCCTGATAAGCAGTCATGCGCCATTAATAGTTATAACTTATTTCTGGTTTTCAGCCGTCAAATAATGTGGAGCGAGAAATGCATCTTATAGCAGCTTTGAACTGATAAGATTTCCCAAATAGTAAATACCCTTTAATTCTGGTTTACTTTTCCTCTCTCATGCTTTTGTCTCCTTTTTTCTCTCTTGCTGTCAATGTTCCCCATCAGGTGGTTCCCTGGAGACTGTAATTGCTAATGATGGGTTTCTGTCAGAAGATGTGGTGAGGAGGTTTGGATGGGACTTGGTCAAAGGACTGAAACATATCCATGAATTAGGAATCATCTTCTCTGACTTGACCCCTGCTAAGGTTTGTATCTGCATTCATGTGTGTGTAGGACTTAACAGTATATCAGCAGAAGTATCATTATCATATGGATACAGTAACTCTCGTTTTGTTGTCCCTAGATCCTACTGGATGGTAGTGGCATTCTGAAGTTTGGTAACTTCTGTACGTCCAAGGCAGAGGGAGAGACACTGGATCATTTCTTTAGCTTGCTCTCTACATCTGAGGAGTCAGGGAAAGGAGATAACAGGAAAAGACTACAAGGTCAGATGAGTATTTGTTAATATTGATAGTTCTGTGTATACATTGCATTGTTGATTGATGGAGAAGTAGATTAGCCAGTGGATCCAGTTGAATTGAACTCTTCGGCAGCCGGGGAACGTGAAGAGTCATGCAGGGATTTTATGTGACAGGTGGGGTGGAAAAGCATGCAGAAAAAGACTAGTGTCCACCTGAGGAATAACTGGGTGTGCAACAATAGGTTAAAAAACAGCTTATCTCATGTTTGATTTCAAAAGGTCAGGTGGAGGAAGATTTTTCTTTCTTGAATTCTTCACAATGTAGCTCCCACAAATGTAAAAGTTGACTAACATCACTTAACATCAAAACATTTATTGTGTATGATTAGGATGCCTGTCTTCTTTTACTGTTTTTGTCTTTTCTAATTACTGTATGTGCATTTTCAGGTTCTCCAACTTACAGCGCTCCAGAGGTTTTGCAGGGATCAGAAACCAATAGGAGCTCTGATCTCTGGGCTCTGGGTTGTATACTCTACTACATGTACACTGGTACCCACATGTGCACGTACACAGACACTGCCACATGCATACACTGAATATTAATTAGTGTGAATTGAATTTAACATTTTCTTCCTATTTTTCGCTATTGTTGGGTACTTCTAATTCATGATGATTATGATGATGCTACTGATGATGAATAGATTGAAACAAAAAGATCTTAATTATGAACAGAATTAGTGTTTTATAACTGATGACTGAATCTTGCAGTTAACAGACAACAAGATATTAACATTCAACATTCAGTATTATACTATATTATATTGTATTTTATTGTAAACCTAAATCCAAACTGTTTTTGTTTTGCAGGTAAACCTCCATTCTGTTCCGATAGCTGCACTGAACTGACGGAAATGATTTTACTTCAGGAACCACGACCTCCCAGACAGACAGGTAATATACACTCTCTCACACACACATCGAGACACAGAACAACTTACCCTTGCATGTTGCTGTTAAAGAGTAACAGCTTTTTGTTTGTTTAATTAGTGTGTTTAGTAAAGTTAACTTCTTTGTTGTTTGTTTCAGAGTTTTCATCCAGTCCACCCAGTGAGGACTTCCAGAATCTTCTGAAAGGCTTGCTCAACAAAAACCCAGATACGAGGTCAGGTTCATAGATACACACACACACACACACACACACACACACACACACACACACACACACACACACACACTCTACTCTACAACTGCTGTTACTACTATCATCATAACATTTAATAGGGTGGAAATCTCATGGTAGCTACAATTTAACGTCCATAATGTCAATTTTAAATTGTAAAGAGCAGGTTGGAGTTTGTTGCTCAGTTGTCATTGATGTAGCTTACATATATTGTTTTAACATCACAATGATGCAAATGTTATTGTTATGTATTATTTATGTTCCCAGTCCAGTTGAATCCCCTGTTCATGAACAGAATTAAACAAATTCCCTAATGTTATTTGATTTATTTATTTTACATAGTAGCTGTTATCTTGTACTCGATATTAATAATACGTTTTATTAATAAAGCAAGTCTGGTTCTTGACTTAAATAAAATTGGACCACTAGAGAGTTTTAGGAAGTAAAATGTATTTAATTTCAATGTAGAATTACTTCAGAGTGCTAGTTTCTATTGCATGTTGACCTTAGTATCATGTTTCTGTGTCCTAATGTTTAGTTTTGTTGTGATTTGTTCTTGAGGATGGGCTGGCTGGAGTTGCTGGACCACCCTTTCTGGACACAAGTACTAAAGGAGGAAGAGGATCTTAAAGAGGGAGAAGAAGAAGCTCAGGATGATGCACGGCATAAGGAGGACAAAAACTGCTGTGAGGGCATTGGTTCAGCTAGCTCGAGGTGTGTTGATATATTATTATTTCTCTTGCTAGCTCCTACAGCTTTCTGTAGACAATTTGTTCCATCAATTTTACTGCATACAGCTTTGCTTTGTGAAAGAGTATAATCTTTCATTAATGGTAGATGATAGAATGGTAAATTTCTGAAACACCTTTCAATATGATGCCATAGTTAAGTCAAGTCAATTTTATTTATATAGTCCAATATCACAAATCACAATTTGGCTCAGAGGGCTTTACAATCTGTACAGCATACCACACCCCTTGATAGGTAGACAGACCTGAGCCACATAACCTCTCCACCATGGAGACCTGGAAAAAGGACACGCCATACACATAAGAGACAAGCACAGCATTCACTTAGATAGGAGAGACAAACAAACACTGATAGATAGAGAGGGACATTATGGCATGTAAGCTATGGAGAGAAGAGGATAGGCTTAATCTCCAATATACACATTTAAATAAAAACATATTTTTGCCTCAGTTGAATAGTTTGTGTGTGTGTGTGTGTGTGTGTGTGTGTGTGTGTGTGTGTGTGTGTGTGTGTGTGTGTGTGTGTGTGTGTTTTTTTTTCCTCCACAAATACACAAGGATCCCTGACCCTTTTTTCCTAGGACAGGTAGATGAGCTTCCCAACAGCCACTCAGCCATCACTCATCCAGCCCTTAGGATTTCCAAGAAATTGATTTCATCACAGACAACAATTGCAACAACTCACAGACCATCTGACAGGAGGACTGATTGCCAACAAGCTGTCAGACACACAACCTGTGGAGCCTTAAGGAACAACCAGGGCTTGGATAGGGGGGTGGGAAAAGAGAGAGGAGGAGAGGGGGAAGCAAAGACAGAAGATGACCCCAAGCCAGCTGGGGCCCAGCAGATGTGCCACACACTGCAGCCCAATAAGTCATTCATTCTAGGTAACACATTCCCTTGATGTCTGATGTCATAACAGTTGTATGAACATGACTATAGTCTTCTGTTTTTTTAGATGCGTAAGCCAAATTTGTTCTGTTCTATTGTTTTTGCCTCAACTGCAAACGATTAGATGTTTCACTGTTTGCTGTAGTTGCTATTTTGCAAATCTCATATCTGATTAAAATGTGTGCGCCATCTTTCACCTGTGTGGCCTTAGGCATCAATCTCAGCCGTGTCATAATGAACTGTTGGAAATCTGATTGAGTATCCTGTGTGCTTCCTCCCCCAGATAACGTATCAGAACTCAGACCAAAGAGTGGTGTGGATGAGGACAACACTGAGGCCATTTTCCTGCTCAGGTATTCAGTTGAGTCTATCTGCTGCCTATCTACCTGTTTTGCCAGGGTCACAGGGTTATACATGTTTTGCCAAGGTTGTACCCAGTAAGTTAATTGATGGCCTTAATTTCTCCTGTCTGAAGAAGAATGTGAATCTAAAAAGAGTTATACAACATATTTTAAGTTGTACTCCATCCAAACTCTTATCTTGGACACACACATCTACAAATGTGAGTGGCCCAAGTGATCCTCTATCCAATACTGTCCTCTAACAATTAAGGTACAGGGGATCAGCCTCATGTACATATATCTAACTACTAACCATAAGCAACCAGCAGTATATTGTAATGTTCCCTCCTGTCGTTTTTTTAGCTCCCGTGCCAACTCAAGGAGAAGCTGCAGTGTCTCAGACCTCCCAAACCAGACCCCTGCACCTCAAGAACATGTAAACATCATGCTTATATTTTTTTAACACTTTTTTTTCGTTTTTTTTTCGTGCTACTATAATAACACGAGTGGTAAACTGGCAACATAGTTACTGGGCCTAAAGCTACAACTATTGTTTTTCCTACCAAAGACCAACATTCACTTATAGGTTTAACATTAAAGGCATGTTTATCCTCTGCTTCCATCTGCTGGTGTGCCTTGTAAACATTAGTCTCATGATACCAGACAGTGGGAGATCTCAGTGGCATCCAATAATCTAGGATCTAAATGTGGAGTAGTTACTTTAATGGTGGTAAGAATGGCCCTAAAGACTTTGGATTGGTTCTGCAATGCTTGTTTTTTTTTTTTTACTCTAATTGTTTCCACCCAGTTTTAGCAACAAAAGCTAGGAGAAAGTTATTAGTCTCTATTGAGCGAAGTGTTTGGAGATGGAGGACTTGTGACTCCAAGTAAATACATAAATAGTTAAATACAATTACAAATACTACTAAATACCTCTTCTGCTCTTCTCTCTTTCCTTACCCCTCCTCTTAGGCCAGTACTGACACTGATATCAGATCCTGCTTGAAAGCTCTTCTCCATACTGACTCTGATCTGACTATCACCCCAATCATGGACAACCCCAAGGTACAGACATGCAGTATTATTATACAGGGGCTATTTTATATTTCAGGGTGTTTTCAGATACATTACAACTGCTTGACTTTTAATAATCTTCAGTGGTAGGTGTCCTTGTGAGGGGCCTTCCCTGCTGTTAATGCTTTATTATAAGACACTGTGACATAGTTACTAGGAAGTAATAGCTACATGGGAATTTTGATATGAAGATCAGGCTCATCCTGAGTCTCTCTGTGTGGTGTTCCCTTTCTGTTTACCAGATTCTTAAGAGTCCTCCTGTGCGTTTTGATCCAAAAACCCTTTGTGTACCAGCATATCCAGGTGTGGTACATTCAATTTTCAAGTCAGTATTAAGTGAGATTTTATCAGTGCCCCTTAAAAAGTACAGAGGTAATATGGACTGTATGGCTATTGTTTTTCTCCTGTCCTCTCTTCCAGTTGAGAAGCTGCAGTCCCTGAGTGATGACGAGTGGACTGTCTTCCTCTTACAGCTCTGTTCATCCCTTGGAGAACAGAACCCCTCAGCTCCTCTCTCCTCCTCCTCCACTGCTCCTCCTCCTCCTCCTCTCTCCTCAGCCACCCGATCAAGGCTCAATCTTCTGTGCTACCTCTGCTGTGTGATTGGACATAAACATATTGCTAACAGGCTGATTAACTCAACACTGGTAGGAAAACTTGTATTTACTTAGGATCCTTATATAAATTATACTATAAATAGTTTTGCATCTAACACATACAGTACAATATAATAGTTATACATTTGTTTCACTCAGCTTCAGTAGGAAGGTATAACATGTGTGACGTTCTTGCCATTGCTCCCAGCTAGTCATTCTTCAAAAGAGGGTCATTAGTGTGGTGACAAGGACATTGTCCCATAGAATTATTCTGAGCTAAAAAAAAATAGGACTTCCCCTTCGTCTGACTTTGAACATGAACTACCTGAGAACATACACTGATCAGCCATAACATCAAAGTTGATGTGTTAGAAGCAGGAAAAATGGGCAGTGTGAGGATTTGAGCGACTTTGACAAGGGCCAAATTGTGATGGCTAGAAGACTGGATCAGAGCATCTTCAAAACTGCAGCTCTTGTGGGGGGTTCCTGGTCTGCAGTGGTCAGTACCTATCAAAAGTGGTCCAAGGAAGGAAAAGCAGTGAACCGGAGACAGGGTCATGGGCGGCCAAGGCTCAGTGATGTATGTGTGGAGTGAAGGCTGGCCCGTGTGATCTGATCCAACTGACGAGCTATTGTAGCTCAAACTGCTGAAACAGTTAATGCTGGTTCTGATAGAAAGGTGTCAGAACACACAATGCATCAGTGTGTTGGTATGGGGCTGATCGGTGCACGTATTTTTCAAAATTAAGAATTTAGTTGTAACAAAACACACCAGAATTTACTTAAAATCATAGCTACATAGTTTTGTTCATTCTGCTAATTTTTATTTACCTGTCAGACCTAAAAAATTAAATGTTTGTAATTGTTTACAAACATAGCAAATTTGAACAAGCTTATAAACGTCAAATAATCTAAAACCTGTGTTTTGTGTCATATATTGTTATTTCGTACAAATTTGGGTCTTTATCTTGTTCGTCTTTCTTCTTTCTCTCTGTATCTGTCTCTCTTTATTCAGCTTCCAGTATTGACCCAGCAGTTACGACAAGCTCCTAACTGGGATCTGTAAGTATGTTATGTATTCTTTATATAAATTTGGAAGAATGATTGTGTGCCTTTTAAACTTACTAGAATGTTCGATAAGTGGTTGACACTGATCTATAGTAAAAATGCAAACTAAAAGAATCATTGGTGGAGCTGAACTACAAGACTCTGATACCAAAAATGCAAGTAATGTGGTAGAGCTCAAATATGATAGAAAGGTTGCTGGCTGCAAAAGCACTTAGATGTAGTAACAAACATCAGGGGCACTTAAGCATGTGTCCTCGCTCACTCTCCTTCTCTCTCTCTCCCTCTTCTCCCTCTCCCTTTCTTTTACAGTTCTTTAAGAACTTACTGCTGTTAACACAAACACACAACATTGTCTATGAAAGCTAAAACAAAGTTGTTCTGAACTGGGAACTCATATTCTCTCCTTCTCTGAACTAGGTTTTTTTTTTACCCCTCCTTTATCCGGAACTAGTTTTAGAATTTTGATGATTGAAAATTAAGAAAATGTATATTCTTTTGTTGATATGCAAACATAAATACAAACACTTTTTTAATTAAATGAAAATACAAATGTTTTCCAGGCGGATCAAGGTTCTCAGAGTGATGGGCCTACTTGCTCTGCACTGTACTGAACTCGGAAAGGACAGTCCTGTTTCTGAGGTCTGGAAGACACACACACACACACACACACACACACACCCCACACACACACACACAGTGTGTTCCAATGTAAACTGAAATGTATTGATTCTTCTGCAAGCTCACATTTCGTGGTAAATTTCATTCCGACTGGTATTACAGTATATCTGTTCATTCAGCCTTCAGTGTGCAGGAACAACACTGGAACTATAGAAAAGCATCAACAAATCTCTCAAATCTGTGATAATTTTTACTCCAAAACAAGATAAATGATCAAAATAATGTTAAGTGTTCACTAACAAACAATTAAACGGGGGAATCCAATATCGTTTCAGAATATTTTTAGGACCTAAAACCTGCAGAACCAGTTTGCACCATGAGGTGTCAGTACATACCAGCATGAGCACCATATTCCCATTACAGGCAATATGAATCTACATTTTGGTTAAAAACTTACATAAAACATAACAATGAATGCTGTACACCTTACAATATGTATAGTTAATTTATTTACGGTAAGTCTTGCTTAATGCTGCTGTGCACAACTAAGATTTTATGTAATTTTATAGTTGTGTAATGTTTGTTTGAATGCTATCCCTAGTTGTTTTTGTTGTTTAAAACATCCAACCCAATGAGGAGAATCTGCCCTAAAACCGAATGTGGATGGGAATACATGTTCTGTCCACTCTAACTTTATAGTACTAATGTGTACCAGCAGGTGGCATTAAAAAACCAGAAGACAACAAGTCTTTCATTGGCCTCTGAGATACTGAAAACACACACTCTCTCTCTCTCTCTCTCTCTCTCTCTCTCTCTCTCTCACACACACACGACACTCCTCCCTCCCCCCTTTTAGTAAACACACACAGAGATCTTGCTGGCTTCTCTTGCTTATAAAGTACATTGCAGCTTACCCGTTACATGATCATACACTGATTAGATAAAGAGTTTCAGCTTATGATGATGCTAATATGACCGTCCCATTTATTTTTTTTAATGTGTGTTGGTTTTACAGATTATTTGTTATTTATTTATTCTTTATTTATATATATATATATATATATATATATATAGAGAGAGAGAGAGAGAGAGAGAGAGAGAGAGAGGTGATTCTGTTATTGAGCCTACCTTCATTGATATAAAATAATAGACAAAATAATAGAAACACGTGTCAGTGCAACGCAGTACAATTCAACAGCAAAATGATTATACAGTTGAATAGACACCTCTCTAAAAGCGTTTGAACTAACACTGAACATTATAACCTTGAGGGAGGACTTATTGTAGAACTGTTGTATTAGACTGCATTAGTTTTAGTTATGTGTGCCTAATAAACTGGCAACTGAATGTTTCACCATAACACCCATAATCATATTAAAGAAAGTGATGTAAGTTAACAGGACATACTTGTCTACCCACACACATTTTCCTAGAGAGACACACATAGACAATTCAGATACTTTACTGAGCCCCCCTCAATATGCACATGTTCAGAATGGTGCTGAACTAATTCAACGTAAAAGCAGTTTTGTATGGAGGTGAGATCTGGAGCGTCTCTCTCGCATTTTATCCTTTCATCCTGAACAGAACTTAACACCTTTTTCCTGTCTCTCTTCTTCTTTTGTCTCTTCGTCTGTTCGATCACATCTATTTATTCTGGATGAAATCCATTCCGGCTAAAGTAGCTCTGATCCCACATCCGCTCCCGTTCCTGGTTTGTCTTTTTCTTTTCTCATTCTCCACTTGTTCTGACACTTCACTGCTACTGAGTCGTCACGCCGATTTACAAAATGGCCGACTGTGGCATAGCAGTGTTTTTTCTGTGCGCTTGTTGTTAAAGACAAATGGCGGAAAATTTTTTCCGCTACCCTCCTTACCTCCCTGCAGTTACCGCGGGATGACAAATTGTTAAGAAAAGGACAAAGCTGTACGTTTCTGCCTGTTTGTGTCTATTTGTGTCTATGACCATGTGTGTCCATCTATAGACTCAGCAGGGGCTCTGTGTGTGTGTGTGTGTGTGTGTGTGTGTGTGTGTGTGTGTGTGTGTGTGTGTGTGTGTGTGTGTGTGTGTGTGTAAGCATGGATGGGCTTCTTTGAGATATGTTTGTGTGCACTCAACAGGGGTCCTGTGTATGTAGTTTTCTGTGTTCTGTTTCCCTATTTGTGTGTGTATGCATATATTCTGTGTTTGTGTGTATTATATTATAGTAAGGCTAACAGATGACCAATAAAACAGCACATACTTGCATATGTGTGTGTGTGTGTGGTGTGTGTGTGTGTGTGTGTGTGTGTGTGTGTGTGTGTGTGTTCTCTCAGCAGGGGTTCTCAGATTGTCAGGGTTTAGTTACCATGGTAACTGCTATATGCATCGACCCCCCCCCCAAAACAATAAAAACAAAACAGAAAACCCACACACACTCATGTCTGTCTTGTCTGTCTCTCTTTCTGTCTCACTCTCTTTTCTGCATGTCCACCTGCTTTCTCTTCTCTCTCTCTCTCTCTCTCTCTCTCTCTCTCTAGTCAGTCTGTCTTTGCCCTTCACTCTCTCTCTCTCTTGTCGAATAGAATTAAATAAGAATAACATTTTCTGGGTTAATGGTACTAACACACTTTTTTTATGCAGCGTGGAGAAGTTGTGCTTTCAAAACCAACTAGATAGGATTTGCCCCTTCACTTATCACTTCTAAAGTTTTCTGTGGCTTTTACAGTGGTTTAGCCAGTAAAAGTTCCACTGTGCAGGGGGTTTCATGGGGATATAGAGTCTTAACGCATTTTAAAAGCTCACAGGAATCTTTAGGAACACACATTCAGGGGGCATTGGGTCCAGGAAGACACTATTCAAAGCATTTATAAAAACCTCTTGCAAGGAAATATGACATGTGTTGTTTAAATATCTGAGAACAAATACATTTTCATAAATATCATTGAAAAACCTTCAGTACCGTATAGATTTATATGCCTATGGTCAAACAAAAAATTTGTATTGTTTCCTGGAGATATCTGGTGAAGATATTCTCACAGCCTGCCGTAATCTGCATCCAGCAGCTCTTAAATTAGGTGTTTGATTCATTAACAAAATGTTATTTAATATATTTGCTTTGTATATTCGAGCCATGCATTTGTTGTCTTGTTTCAACATTTAACACGAAGTATGTCAGATCAGCCATAACACATCAGAACATACATTTGCAAGGGTCGATGTTAGGACATGTAAATTTAGAAAGTTGAACACATTTAGGTGTAAAGCTGGGCGCTTGAAGATAAGAGGGTTACCTCTGACTGCAATGCACTACTGCTTTATACGCCAGTCTCTTCTCTCACCTGAGACGAGCATCGTATTAGCGGTAAAGTCATGTGCAGTTCCGTCTTTATAGGACAGATAATCCACCAACCTGTTCTCTTATTCTTTCTTGTGTATAGACATACAATAACTGCCTGTATATTTGTTTGTCACGTGTGTGTATATGTGCAAAACTTCTGTGTGCTGTGTTGGGATGTCTTTTATTCTCTGGCACTATATGAGTGTTGTTTATGGATGTTAATTAAGTACATATGTTTTCTCATGTGCATTCATGTACATTATGGGATCTGAGGGAATGTTGATCCTGAGATAATTATAATGTGTTCTGGATATGTGTGTGTGTGTGTGTGTGTGTGTGTGTGTTTTTGTTTGCTTTTTCACTCTGGCTCGTTGCACTGTGGTGCATTTCAGCACCCTCTGCCTGAGAGCAGCTGCGTAACTAGTTTCAAACACACCCTAGAATCTCAACTCCCCACTCCCCAGCCATTTATTTATGTTATTTGTGGGTTCAGCTCATGTGGGAAAGAGACAGAAAACCATGTGTACCATTCACTAACTGGATTAATAGTGACCCAACTTGCTATGAGTTTTATAGTTTATGTATAAATAAGTTTAAATAAGGTCAGCTCAAACATATTGGCTTCTGTCCTAGTCTCAATGTGTACTGGCAATAACGTTTAGACCTACTCAGGATTCCAGTGGCAAACTGATACCTTACGATGTTCATCGATGGCTCAGCGTGTGGATACACCATGCTTCTTGGGCAATAATACAAGAAAAAAATAACTCCACTGGGAAAGGGGAAGATATGTTGAGAGAGAACATGACAAACAGACTGTTACCACTTCTCACCCTACAACGAGAAAGAGAGACTGAAGGTGAGAGACAGTGAAAGCAAGCGAGTGTCAAAGAAAGATAGGCGAGAGAGTGAAAGATATTATGTGATACACACATAGAGGGCAATTCAAAGCAAAGAAAAAAGAAAAAAGACAGAAGTAGAGAGAAACACAATTGAGGAAGGAGAGCCGGCAAACAGACAGAGATGGAAAAAGAAAGTGGAGAAGAGAGGGAGAGATAGAGGAGTGAGGCAGAACTTGCATCAGATCACAGAGGGGGGAAGCTGGCAGTAATGCTAATGCCAGGAAGCAGCCAGCCAGCAAGGCTGTCTCTGCATATACTTAACTGTGTGTGTGTGTGTGTGTGTGTGTGTGTGTGTGTGTGTGTGTGTGTGTGTGTGTGTGTGTGTGTGTGTGTGTGTGAGAGAGATTGTGGTGTGCATTTCTTACAAGTTACAATGATTGCATGAATTTATGTACCTAGTTATGTGTGTGCATAATGCATATACTTAATGCTCTGAATACATGCGTGTGTTTGTGTATACATGCATATGTGTGTGTCCCTTACCACTGATTTTGGTGTGTGTATATGCGTTTTAGTGGTTTTCAGTAAGACTGTTGCTGCTGCTGCCCATCTCATATCTTTCTCATTCCTGTTTTGTCTTTCTCCCTCTTTCCCAGCCTTTTTCTGTCCTATTTCTCTTTTCTCTACATTGTTATTTTCTTCATCCATCTTTATGTCTCTGTTTTATGCATTCCCACATCCTCTTCCTTTTCACTGACTTATCCTCCTTTCTTACTCTGTCCTCTCCTCCCCATTCTTTACCCTTTCTGCTTTTACCCTTACCTGTCTATAGTTTCTCACATTTTATGGTCGTATACAAAACATATTCATCCCAATAGTTTCATTTAAAATAGTACATTTTCTGTACACAGAACATCTTCTATTATTGAATGAAGATAAGAAGCTGCCAACAATAGTTAGTGTGACATGGCATGAGGTCATGTTCTACTTTATTTATTTATTCCCTTTATTGTGGTGTGGTGTTATTTGGTATGGTCCCCCTATTTCAGGACAATGAAGCAGGACAGTGATCCTTATCATACAGGCAACCCACCAATGAGTTTTTAGGGGGCCAGGGGTGTTCTCAACTAGCCAGGTCAGTCACCTGATATCAGTCCGGCTGAGATGCATTTTACTCGCTAAAGACCAAACTGAAGGCAAAAAAGGACCTGAAACAAGCAAAAAGTGCAGATGGTAGCAGTACAGGCCTGGCAGAGAATTATCAAATATCTGCTGATGTCTGTGGGTCATATATTTCAGGCAGTCATTTATTACAAAGGATTTATATAACCTTGATTTAATCAGGTAGTCTCATTAAGATCAATAGGTCTTATCAAAGAAAGACCTGAGAACAGCACATAGAAAGAAAAACAAACATAACCAGACAAAACAAGAGAAGAAATACATACAGCTTAACCAGACAATAAAAAGTGCATAACATACAACGAACGTAGCCAGACTTAACAACAAAAGCATATACAGCATTAGAGACAATCACAAACATTGCTAAATAAATTAAGTTAAAGTTAAATGTTAAAAATCAGCCAGTGGGATGAAATGTGAAATATTCAAGTTTTAAAATCCTGTGTAATTCATTAAATTTATAATGTGCAAAGTAGTTGATGGCTGAGATCTGGTCTGGTGAGCAGTGGTTTTACATTTGAGAAGAGGGTATACTGGCAGCTTTTGTGTGAGACCTTGTTGAATTGAAATTGTTCTAGTCTTGCTAATGAGGACCAGCCTACTTTTTCATATAGTACACAGTGATGAGTACTAGACCTGCACAAATCGAAATAGTATAGAAATCTCAAAAATCACAGAAGCTGCAATTTTTTCATAAAGGTGAAATGTGAGACAAAAAGCATTATTGAAGTTCTGTAGATCTGCAGAGACAAATATGGTTCTCCAGAGATGTACAACCCATCCCATTTTTTAGTGAAAATTAAATTTGTGATGCCAAAGTAATTATTCCCACACTAATTGAGGAAATGTAATTGATACCAAATGTTCTTGTCATAATTGTTTTGTTTAATAGAGCATGTTATTATTTGATTTTGCAAGAATAAAATAGAAATGCTGATGAAACCATCTTTCTCTTTCTCTTCTCTCTTTACAGGCTGTGTCCACACTAACAGACCTGTTGAGAGACAACCTGAGGAATAGCAAAATAAAACAGTTCCTGCTGCCACCACTCGGGGAGTTCCTCTACCTCATCACCTCTCAGGTACACACTGTATGACAGAAGCCAATATAAAGAGACATAATTAAAGTTAAAATGTATTTTTTCTGGTATTTTTGTTTTATTAAACAGGGCGAAGCAGTTATTTATTGTTATATGTTATTTGGACAGGTCTTTGAACACTGGCTTATGTGAAAATCCGCCTAACTGTAGTTGGAAAGTCAAACAAAAGATTCAGACATGCAGGAAAAGCACTAATGCTATCGCTGTGAACATGAACATGCAATTATTTCCAATGTAATCTCTGCAGTTTATTTAGTGTGCACTTTATGACCACAGGTAATTTTTGAATAAGTAATACTATATATGTCCGTTTGAAGGGTTGAAACACAAAAGTGGTCCAGCTACTGTCATTGAGTGAATGTAAATATTTCTCCAGCTTTTGTGGAAATAATTCAGTCGTTGTCCCAGATCTTTGGTAAAGTATGTGTTACTGTTTGAATTGTTGTTATTAGTCTAATCAGGGTATTGAATTTGGCATGTTGCTGTTTTGTAAGTCACTTAAGCTGACCACACTAGAAGAAATCAGCTATCTGGGTCTCTCTGAGACTGCTACATTTTGATGGAATCGGCATCCTATAGTTTGTCAGGGTCAATTAAAGCTGAAATAAGTACTCTTAATATTGGTGAGGCCTACTGCTACACACTGGACCTGAAATAATTGGAAAAAGTCAATTAAGTCATGGATATTTTTAAATCCTGTGAGAAATGCAATGAATGCAGTGATCCACTTGTTGTTAATCCTGTTGATAAATCACAACCTCAAACAATAGAGGGCTGGCAAACTGTAAAGTTGCTCACCTCTAGTTTGCTTTGCAAACTGTGCAAACCAAACTTAAACCAACTAGCCCATAACACAGTTCATGTAGTATGCACATTACACTTCAAGCCCCTCAGGATGCCCCCAAGAGATGGCTTTTTAAATGTGGTTAGTGAAAATCATCAGAGAACGGTTTCTCTGAAGTAATTAATGGGGAATGACTGCTTTCTTTTGAGTTAATGAGTCCAAGTGAAACAAGCACAACATTGACGCCAAGTGCAAGATCAAATGACATTTTCCTATTACGTCAGTAAGAAATGCCAATCTTGAGTGAAATGAATGAAACAGAGTGCTCTGTGATTAGGTAATGGAGTTTAGATTTGGACGCCGACTAAATTGAATTGAAAGCGAATTGACCCCCAGCCCTAAAAATTACAATTACAAGAGAGAAAGTGGAGCAGGCCTCGTTTGACTTTATTAGAAAAGGTGATCCTAATTTATATCTGGTTAACCTCAGTGTAGCCAGGCAAGTCAATTAAGTGTTAGATTTTTGTTTACACGACTGATGAATAACCTTCAAAAATCAATCACCCTGCCTGATTGCACTTATTACTCTCCTGAAGCCATGAGAAATCTCATCAGTGTCCTGCAGTAGCTCTTAATAAACTGACTTGCAAGTGTTTTTCCATTGTTGCCAGTGTGTTCTTGACAAATAATAACACAATAATTACCTGATTCCTGTACCTCCCTCGGTGATCATGGCCAGGTGTTAAACAGCACCTTGAAAATGTAACTGTGAGTTAGTTAGGGTAAGAAACAAATAACAAAATATTTTTATTTTCTTTATTCGCAGGACATTTTTTAAAATCTTTTTTTTCTTTTTCTATAACATGTTCTAGCTCTTTTCAGTGTCACTGAAGTAACTTTATTTTAGTAAATGAGTACTGTATTGTTGATATGCTGCCAAAATATGTCCCTGGTAGAACTCTATGAACCACGGACAGATATGCATTGCTTTGAATGGCTGCTTTTACTGGTTGCTTTTTCCAATGACATTTTTTTACTGTGCTTTCTAGGTTTTCTATTTTATAAATTTAGGTTTGGCAAATTTTTTATCTTACAAATTGTCAAGAAACCAGGTTAACCTTATTGTTAAGCAATTCTAGTAATAAGAGAGAGGTGAGTGGTACCTTCTTGTGTAAAGCTGCCTGCTTGTTGGCTTTGGATTGAGTATTGGATTTTAAAAATCTCCAGCTGTTTGTGTTTTCCAGTCAATGACAATGATTAGCACAACTTTTAGTGCTGTGTGGGCTTCTGTCTCAGACATATCCCTTGTTTCAGTTTTTGGCTTGAGAATTTGATGTTTCTCCAGCAGCGCCAGTCAAGAAATTGATAGCTCTAAAAACCCAGTAGTTATTTGATTTGTTCTGAGTCTTTTAAGAGTCCCCTGGTGGACTGGCTGGTTGGCTGTCTGGTGGGTTTTCAGTGTCAATGATCAGCTGCATTGCTGCCTCTATTCTCAAGGTTAGATATAACTTACAACCTTGAAAAACACCACAGACACATGAACTTTTATTGGACTTTGGACTGTTTCAAGGTTTTTAGCTTTCAGACTATTCCCATATGATGGGTACAGTTTGGTATGGTGAAAATGTTTTCTAAAATAGAACATGACCACAAATGACAACAAAAAGTTTACTGTAATAGTACTTGACCATAGAAAACGTTACTAATTATATTATTTGAGGTATCATTTGTAGCACATGGTGTTGAAACCCTTCACTGAATACAATAATAAATCAAAGCTGCAAGCAGCGATGATGCGTGACCATCATGTGTGGACCACACCGTGGAAATTTCTAGTAAATCAGATGATGATTGACACACAAGGGTTACTTCCTGTTTCCAGTAGCTGTTGCTTGACTATATCTGAATATTTGCATGTAGATGTGTTCAAGGCAGGATTTAACATGTGATGTTTGGTTGAAACTGGGAAAAGTGCACTGAAGTTATTTCAACTTCAACGGCAAGCTATGGACACACTGTTCGATGCACAGTAACAAATAATACAACTTTTAATTGTGTCTTTTTTGATTGCACTGACCAAATTTAAAGTCGATCCGATTAATTCCCTAGGAGGATTTCGTTAAAATACAACCTGAAAATGTTGTAGCAAATGAGCACAAAATTCAAAATTGCCAACTTCCTGTTGGGTTTCTGGCATGGGTCCCAGAGTATTTTTGGATACATGTGCGTAACAATATTCATACATATCGGTCAAACTTGTCTTTGCGGTGTAGTTTAACCGTTTTGCAACCCTAATGTGCAAATTTTGAGTTTTCAAGCATGTTGCAGCCACCAAAAATGTGATTCATTGTGGATTAACCCAAATATTTAACTTCTTTGAACAGCAGTAGCTAATATTGTCATTACAACCAGTTGTAATGAAAAACCTAAACTCAGGGTGTGAACTCCTCCCAACAGGTGGAATCATTTTGCCTATATAAAGACAGGAGAACAGTTTCATTTGAGTTATATGGAATGGCCCTTTAAGTGTCCCCAGGTAAAATCATCTGCTTTGCTCCTCTCTTCTTCTGCAGCACCAGTCAATGACAATGATTACCTATAGCCTCCAGTGCTGTCTTTATTCTCAAGGTTAGATATAGCCTAGAGCCTAGCAAAGCAGCAATGGAATGGGGCATTGTTTCATGAAAAGTAAAAAAATGTTGGTTGAAATAATCCAAATTTGTGTCCTGTAAGTGTAGGTATGACAGTATATAACGTTTGTTTTGTCAGGAAAAGAAGTACATGTTTCGTTATAATCAGATGAATAATAACACAAGAAATAGATAAAAAAGAATGGCAAGAATGCCAAACTTTTCTGGTTCAGCTTGTCATATGTGAGGATTTCACCTTGATTGGCATTTTATAGATTTAAAGATTAATGGATTATTGTTAAAGTAGCTGAGAGAAGAAATTATCATAAAAATACTTTCCTGTCCTGTGAATTTTAATTAAAACTTTCATGAGTATGGGTAAAGTTTAAATTATTCTCTTTTTTTATTCTACCTTTTTTATTATGTGAAAAATGAGAGTTAGATGATTGAACACACAAAGCAAAATTAAGGAAAACATGTATAATATTCACACATATTATCTTGAGTAATATCAATATTTTTAAGAAAATGATAGAGAAAATGGTTCTGAAAGCATGTTCAACACAACATAACCAAGTAATCAAGATGTCATGGCTCCTCTTGCTCCCTTCTCCCCTCCCCGACTTGGCCCTTTCTTGCCCTTTTCCTCACTCCTCTCTACTTGCATCTCCTCCACATTATCTCTCTGCCTTGCTCTCATTCCCACTCCACTCCTCTACTGCCAACCCCCCCCAATCTGTACCCCCTCCTCCTCTCTCCTCTCACCCTTTCTCCCTGTCTTTTCTACGTCTCTCTATCAGGAGGAGAAGAGAGGCTCCCCAGAGGGACTGTGGTTCGTTCCCACTGCCGCCTACACTGGCTTAATGAGGAGCCTGCGGGAAGGGGTGAGTGTCTCTGTGTATGTCTGCGTGTGTCTGTTTTTGTGTCTGTGCCTGTGTAGCTGTGACTAAGTCTCTCTCACTGTGTGTGCCTGTGAGTGTGTGTTTGCGAGTGTGTAGCAGGGGATCCCTGTGAACAGTAATGATGAGGCAGCTGTGGGGGCCTAAAGCGTTGTTTGCCAGCTGCAAGTCAAGGGCATGCAGAGCAGTCACACATACATGCACGCACACACTCTCTTACCTGCATCAAACACAACCCTTTACTGCTCAGCAGCCTGACCTCAGCAGCAATTAGGACCCTCCAGACACACATACAGTAGATGGAGCAGAAACACAAGCAGGAATATAGGTAGCTTTCCTTTTTGCTGGCTTTCTCGTTTTTTTTCTTTTTTCTCCTCTCTGTCGTTACGCTTATGCTTCACCTCTTATATTAGTCTGTCACAAAAAGATGCTAAATTATGACTTTGGCTGGTATAATTTTATAACAAAATGACACATGTCTCTAGTGATCAAGCTGTGTCTTAAATGTGAATAAATATACAGGTAATCTTTCAACATTTGCATTAAGCTCACGATTAGAGATTGACCTGGTCATATTTAGGTTTGGACCCTGTGCACGGCCCAGTGCTACATCACAAGATATTATGGTGTTGTTCTTTGTAGTGTTGTTGCAGGGTCAGCAATTGCTGCTGAATAAGGAACCTTTTGGTGGGTGGTGAGATTAATATATAGAGTGAACAGGTAGAGGGGGAGAAGGAGATGGATGGATGTTGTTTTGTGTCTCAGAGGTAGAAGGGGTCTTACTGTGGTGGCCCACTATAGCAGAATGAATATAGATGAAACTCTGGTCTACACAGTTGTCAGCTAGTACCTACTGTTGCTTCATTACCACTGGGAGTGTAGTGGAGGGGTAGATGAACAGAGGAGGGGTATATGTGACAGGAGCAGGGAGAGGGGTTGAGGGGAGGAGAGAGGAGGTTGACTTATTTATCATTATTGAGCTGTGAGAATAGGCTGACTGAAACGCACACACACGCACGCACGCACACACACACACACACACACACACACACACACACACACACACACACACACACACACAGCCTTAGGGACCAGACACTCATCCCCAGACCCAACCTGCCTCCCTTTCTTTCCATCTCTCCCTCTCACCCTCCTCTCCCCTTCTTCTCCACCCTGTCTCTGTTTCCCCCTCTCGCTGACTGGCTGTTTTTCGTGGATGCACGAAGTATATTTGCTATTATATTACAGAGCTGTCTAAATAGTCTAACTTTGTCTCATGGGCGTTACATTTGCTGGAGTTAACAAGGTGGTCACACTGTACCATAGTTTACTATACTTATTATATTTGTGGGACATTTTAGGAATGAAGAAAAAACTCCAAGTCAGTTTTAGGGTGCGGTCTCACCTGCACCTATTATAATCACCTTTATCGACTGGTTACACAGCATACATTTTTACATGTCATAGCAGGAAACTGTCACTGTCACTGGGACACTTAATGGAACTGAGCCATTGTTGCTGGTGTTTGAATTCACCTGTATTTTTTGAAATCTAAATGATCATTTATTACCAAAATTATAAACAAAATAACATCATGGCAGTCATTCTAGATCATATACTTAGAAATTTATTACACAGGGTTAGCTCGTCTTAAATATTATATTATAGAAATATTACTGTTACATAAGAAAGTATTTTGGTATGAGGACCCACATTTTAAGACCAGTCCAATATTGCGATTGTGTTGACACGTTGCTCCAATAAAGGGCAATGGCTAGTGCAATATCTACATGTATATTTCTGTTACCAGCTACAGTACCTCAGGCACATGATGCCTTACAACTAGTCACTACGTCACCAAGCTTCCATTATAAGGTGAATGAATTTCTCTGTGCCACTTTCTGCTCTCCCTCATCAGACATAAACAGATGGGCAAGTAATGCATTCTTTGTCCTTTTGCTTCCCCTCTCCCCTGACAATGATCTATGAGGGGAAAAAAGGGGAAAATCTAAACATGACAATGGAATTTGTGTTGAATTTCAGTGCCCACAAAGCAAGACCACATGTATACTTTTTCACTGTTTGAAGAATCCATGACTACTCATGACTTCCCCTTTCCTCCAAACCTACAGCCAGGCATTTTCTTAAGACTGATACATGGTCAGGGGATACTGTACATCACCTGACTGAAGAGAAATGTCACAGATATACCGGAGGTCATTAAGAAACAGTGTCACCATTGAATAGTTTGTCCCCCAGAGAGCCCTTACAAGTTTATTTTCTGTGGTGAAATGTCCCATTCAGTATATGTCTCGTGACATTTTTTTGAAAAACAACAATATGCGGTCCAAATCAAAAAACTTTGATTTTGTTATGTGTTTAAGTAAAAAATGGATATTAGCTTCAGATTTGTTTGCTGTCATTATTTGTACAAATAGACTAATTATTTTTTTGTTATTATTAAGCTACAAAGCAAAATACATACACATACATACATAAAGTAATCAAAACCATGACCAGTTGCAACATTAAAGTGATAACAATTAATGCATCAGTAATTATAATGTAATAATATGTAATACAATATTCTGAAATGGGCCATTCTGCATAATGAATACTTTTACTTTCTGCTCTTTAAGCATATTTTGATAAGTTGATTTTGAATATTGGACTTTTACATGTAACAGTGTATTTTCTATGATATTTCTGCTTTTACTTAAGTAAAGAATAATACTTGACTACAAACAGAGAGGCAGCTGAATATGTTAGGAGTGATCAGTAAATCAACGCGCATTCACATAATTCAAGTGTCAAGATTTGGCCTTTCATTGAAGGACAACCAGTAGAAAATAAATTCGACTTCAAAGAAAGGATTCCTACTCTGTATAACAATTAATTTGTAGTTGTGCGGTTGAAAATTGTTTTGCTTTGCACTTATCATGGCCAAAAGAATTTATGATAATGACATTATTGTGAGATATATAAAAAATGTCAATCAGTCACATTCATATTTAACTTTTACTGTGTTTTGTCTCTTTTTGGTGTGGTAGTAGCTAGTTAGCTAGTTACTGTATATATGTAGTTACATCTTCTTTTTTACATTTTATGGTGGGTGGCAATGAGTGTTGAGGTCCTTTATTGCCACCTATGTTGGAGCGTGAAGCAAAAATTGAGAATGTAAAGAAACGGAAATTATTTAAGAGGCGCTGGATTATTTACAAGATATTATTATTTGTCTATTATTAACATATCAATATAAAACATTTTTAGTACCGATATATTGTGAGACTCCTAATTCAGTAATTCACTGATACTTTGTTCTTATAGTTTTATCCTTTTTCTCTGAAATGTCAATTAAGACAATTTTGTACCACAAATTAGTATTTTCAGTAATTAAATGTTTGAAAATAATGGCTACACTGCACAGTGTGTATGTAGCATGAATATGACTAAATGCAGGTGTACAGCCACAACAAAGCATCAGTATACGCAATAATGGCACTGCAGTTACTGTTCTTATTTTCATTTTCATTAGTGTAACTTATTATTGACAATGTAGTCTCCCCCTATAAATGGCATTTTAAATAGCAAGCAGTAATCTTTTCCAAACATGAGTTACTAATATTATCATGGTTTGTGATTCATTTCTGGCTTACAACGTGGTTGCAACAAATGAATAATATCACTTTTCTATCACAAACTAAAATATCCTCCGTTTAATAATGAAATTAAAGTTTCATTCACATCCCATTATTTAAATGTTAAAGCTGCATTATTAGATTGTTCTTGCTAGTTTTGTGGCAGTGTAACAAATTGTAAACACAACATTAACATTGTCACAAGTTGTTGTATTAATTGTGTTAATAAACAGTCATTTAGCTATTTACACAACCAGCAGGTTGTCCAATATTCACTCTCCTTTTAGCCCTATGTTGTCCCCAACAATTTTTTAGGGAAATGTCAGCTCTTCAGCTGCTAAATGTTCCACTATATTCACCAGCTAGTTGATAACTTGATCTTTGTTTTTGTTTTTTCCTTTTTTTTGCTGAAAACTGCTGCTTGCTGCTGGATACGAGTTTTGATAAGGTTGGGGTTACGGGATTATAAACCAAAACAATGAGCTAAAAGGAGCTAAAATGCTACTGCTGGGTGATCAGTGAATTGTCAGTAGGTTCGTCAAATTAGACAATGCCCTTCACATAACACGTATTAATTTGAGTCATCAATCAGTATAAAAATGTTGATAAGGATCATTGGTTGTCTATTGGTTTTTTCACTTGGCCTTATGCTACGCAGTGTGGGGGATGTAAAGTTTGCATTTCTGATGTTTGAACTACTTAGAACCTATGTCGTCTGAAGTGACCAGCTGTATCCTTGTTATAATAATCCCTTATTATTATTGGCTTATTGCTTCAGGGGTGTCTCCAATATTTAGTCATGTATTTTTTGTGTAGTGTTGTCTGGAGAAATAGATTGTCTACCAATGTGCTAAATGTAAATCCAGTGCCACACACTGTTTATTGCATGACAGCATTGAGATACTGCGCCAAGACCCTGTCTAATACGCTCCAGGCTGTGTGGTTTTGATGCATTTCCTGACCCCCTAGATCACCCCAGCCCCCCCTCCCCACTGCTGTTGAGAGTTTTCCTGATTTACAAGTAAAGCACTGGAGAGAGGGATAGAGAGCGTTGTACTAGAAGAAGGGGTCGACTGGGATGGGGGCACAGAGCCAAGGCGAGCATGGTGGTTTTAGCAGTGAGAGAGGGACAGTGGTGGATGGCAGGGAGTGACATAGAGGAGGAGAGAGAAGGATCAGTGTAGTGGGAGGGGGAGAGGAGATGGCAGAGAGTCAGAGAGAGAAAGAGAGAGAGTTGTATTCGGAGAGGGGGAGTGGATGGCATGGAGTGAAAGGCAGGTTTCCAGGCCAGACTTGAGCTGCAGGAAATTATTTATGAGCCTGAACAAGATGATGCTTCTGCTGCCT